TATATGCCATTACTACACATACTACACACCACTAAATTTCCATTACTACTACTTACACCACTATTGCCATTACAACTACTACCAACTATTGCCATTCTATACTAATACCACTATTGCCATTACTACTACCACTATTGCCATTACTAACTACTACCACTATTGCCATTTACTACTACTACCACTATTGCCATTACTACTACTACTACCACTATTGCCATTACTACTACTACTACCACTAAATTGCCTTCTAACTACTACACCACATTGCCATTACTACTACTACCACATTGCCATTAAATATTTCCACTATTGCCATTACTACTACTACTACTACCACTATTGCCATTACTACTACTAACACTATTGCCATTAATACCTACTACTACTAAACCCCTAATTGCCATTACTACAACTACCTACACTATTGCCATTTATACTACTACAAACCCCTATTGGCCCTTACTACTACTACCACTATTGGCCATTAAATACTCACTTTCCTTTCTACACCCACTATTGCCATTACTACTACTACCCACTATTGCCATACACTACTACTACCACTATTGCCATTACAATACTACTACTACCACATTGCCATTACTACTACTACCCACAATTTGCCATTACACTTACAACCACTATTGCCATAAATACGCTACTATCTACCCACTATTGCCATTACTACTACACCACCACTATTGCCATTACACTACCACCACTATTGCCATTAAATACTACTACCACTATTGCCATTACTACTCTACTACTACCACATTGCCATTTTACACTAACTACCTACCACTATTGCCATTACTACTACTACCACAATTTCCATTACTAAAATACTAACCACTATTGCCATTACTAGCAAATACCACTATTGCCATTACTACTACTACCACTATTGCCATTACTACTCTACTACTACCACTATTGCCATTACTACTACTACCACTATTGCCATTACTACTACTACCACTATTGCCATTACTACTACTACCACTATTGCCATTACTACTACTACTACCACTATTGCCATTACTACTAATACTACCACTATTGCCATTACTACTCACTAAATATCCACTATTGCCATTACTACACTACCACTATTTGCCAATTACTACTGCTACAAATAACCACTATTGCCAATACTACTACTACTACTACCACTATTGCCATTACTACTACTACTACTACCACTATTGCCATTACTACTACTACTACTACCACTATTGCCATTACTACTACTAAAACTACCACCACTATTGCCATTACTAACTACTAACACCACATTGCCATTACTAACTACCCAACCACTATTGCCATTTACTACTACTACCACATTGGCCCTTACTACTACTACCACCACTATTGCCATTACTACTACTACCACTATTGCCATTACTAAATACTACCACCTATTGCCATACTAAATACTACTACCACTATTCCTTACTACTACTACACCCCTATTGCCATTACACTACACTACCACTATTGCCATTACTACTACTACCACTATTGCCATTACTACTATTAAACCACTATTGCCATTAACTACTACTTACCACTATGCCATTACTTAAAATTTTCTACTACCCACCACTATTGCCATTTCTACTAATACTACTACACTATTGCCCTACTACAAATACTACTACCTACTACTACTACTACCACATTGCCATTACTACATACTACCACTAGCCAACTATTGCCATTTTATTTCTACTACTACCAAAACTATTGCCATTTACTACACTACAAATCTACTACCACTATTGCCATTACTACTACAAATACCACTATTGCCATTTACTAACTACTACCACCCTATTGCCATTCTAACTACTACCACTATTGCCATTACTACTAAATACTACCACTATTGCCTTACTACTACTACCCAAATATTGCCATTACTTACTACTACTACTACCACTATTGCCATTACTATACTACCACTATTGCCATTACTACTATTCCCATTACTACTACTACTACCACTATTGCCATTACTACTACCCACCACTATTGCCTTTACTACTACTACTAAAACCCCTAATGCCATTTACTACTACAACCACTAATTTCCATTACTACTACTACCACTATTGCCATTAAATACTACTACAACTACCACTATAGCCAATACTACTACCACTATTCCCCTTACTACTACTCCACTATTGCCATTACTACTAACTACCCACTATTGCCATTACACTAAATACCACTATTGCCATTACTACTACTACTACCACTATTGCCATTACTAAATACTAACTACCACTATTGCCATTTAAATACTACTAAACCACTATTGCCATTACTACTACTACCACTATTGCCATTACTACTACACACACTATTTCCATTACTACTCTACTACCACCACTATTTGCCATTACTACTACTAACCACTATTGCCATTACTACAACTACTACTACACCACTAATGCCATTTACAACTACTACCACTATTGCCATTACTAAATCTACTACTACCACTATTGCCATTACTACACTACTACTACCACTATTGCCATTACTACTAACTAAACCCCTATTGCCATTACTATCTACTACCACTATTGCCATTACTCTACTAACCACTATGCCATTACTACTACTACCAAATATTCCATTACTAACTACCACTATTGCCATTACTACTCTACTACTACCACTATTGCCATTTCTAATACTACCACTATTGCCCATTTAAATACTACCACTATTGCCATTACTACTACTACCACTATTGCCATTACTACTACTACCACCACTATTGCCATTACTACTACTACTACTACCACTATTGCCATTACTACTACTACCACTATTGCCATTACTACTACTAACTACCACTATTGCCATTACTACTACTACCACTACCCATTCCATACTACTACTCCACTAAATTTTTCATACCCACTACTCCACTTTGCCATTACTACTACTACCACTATTGCCATTACTACTACTACCACTATTGCCATTACTACTACTACTACTACCACTATTGCCATTACTACTACTACTACCACTATTACCATTACTACTACTGTTACCACTATTGCCATTACTACTACTACCACTATTGCCATTACTACTAATACTACTACCACCACTATTGCCATTACTACTACTACTACCACTATTGCCATTACTACTACTACTACCACTATTGCCATTACTACTACTACTACTACCACTATTGCCATTACTACTACTAACACTATTGCCATTACTACTATTACCACTATTGCCATTACTACTACTGTTACCACTATTGCCACTACTACTACCACTACTATCACTTCTACTACCATTACTACTATCACTTCTTCCATTACTACTACTACTACTATCACTTCTTCCATTACTACTACTACTACTATCACTTCTACCATCATTTCTAAAATTACTGTTACCACAACTACTACCACCATTACTAATACTCCTACCACAAATACAACCACTATCACCACCATTATTAATGCTAACCAACATCTCACCTAAGACAACAACCACTTCAACTCCATTAAAAGTCAAATTCCTTCGTGTATTTACATTCAGAGTTTTCAGTCAGTAATATTGAATTACCAGAGATGTAAACTGATCTTAGTCGTCTCGCTAATATTATGATTTATTTTATCTTTTAAAATTTAATGGGCTCTGTAAATAATTTACATTAGCGTTACTTAAGTTAAATGAGGAAAAATTAACTTAGGGGCAGTGTAGGCCAAAAGACTTGGCAGACGATGCACCATCCCCCCAATGAAAAGCAGGGGTGTCACTAGCACGTTAAGAGACCATACAATAAGTGTCAGGGGCCCGAGACTGTTCAACTGCCTCCCAGCATACATAAGGGGGATTACCAACAGACCCCTGGCAGTCTTCAAGCTGGCACTGGACAAGCACCTAAAGTCAGTTCCTGATCAGCCGGGCTGTGGCTCGTACGTTGGTTTACGTGCAGCCAGCAGCAACAGCCTGGTTGATCAGGCTCTGATCCACCAGGAGGCCTGGTCACAGACCGGGCCGTGGGGGCGTTGACCCCCGGAACTCTCTCCAGGTAAACTCCAGGTAAACACACACACAGGAATGTAGATAAATGGCTCAGAGAACGGATAAGTTGATAAATTAGACACAGGGAAACGTTTCGCCACACAGTAGCTTCATCAGTCCTTTACAAGGAAGAATGGTGACTATAAGGAGTTTGAGGTGAGCAGTCTATCAGTCTTGAAAAGGCTGAGGGACTGATTACCCTTAACTCCTGAGATTCACAATTCTTTCTGTGGACCGATGAAGCTACTGTGTGGTGAAACCTTTCCTCAAAGGCATCCTAGTGTGGCATGTGTCTAATTTATCAGTAATAGTAGTAGGTAGCAGTATTGGTAAGCAGTGGTAGTAGTTAGTAGTAGTATTGGTAGTACTAGTAGTAAGTCGTAGTCCTAAGAATTAGAGCCAGTCACACCAGGCTACTCACAAAAACATTACCTTAATCTACAGGGACAAGATGTTTACCTGGAGAGAGTTCCGGGGGTCAACGCCCCCGCGGCCCGGTCTGTGACCAGGCCTCCTGGTGGATCAGAGCCTGATCAACCAGGCTGTTGCTGCTGGCTGCAATCTCTCAGCAGACATACGCTAAAAACACATATTCATCACTTATGTAATACACACCAACAATATCTTATTTAGCCGGTACTCTCCCGGCCAGAGTTGTTTCCGTAAGGGGACCCGGCCTTGGTTCCCCGTCTTGGGAGTATCTGAGACTTATGTCTGCCATGGGAGGAGGTACAAGTACCTCCTCATCTTCTGGCACCAACAGCCCTCCCAGGTCTAGCCACATTCCCTGTCCTCACGGGGCTCGTAGGGAGAAGCCAGGCCTCTGATCTGCCATCTTCTCCGCCTCAGGGGTCTCGTGGGAATGGTCTTCTGATGTTAATTAAACCAACAATATTTACAAAGCACAAACACAGACAGCGTACCTGATAGAGACAGTAGTGGAGAACAGAAGACAAGGGATAGCTAAAATCATGGAAGATATCCAGATAATGAGGATAACCTGGAGTGCTTCACCTTTCGACATCCTTGGCTTCAGTGGTCTGACAATGGCAATGTATCTGTCGAAAGGTTTAGATTATGTGAATAATTATAATCAAAAGCGCTAAACCTACAAGGGTCATACAGCGCAGCAGGTATGGGATATATATATATATATATATATATATATATATATATATATATATATATATATATATATATATATATATATATATATATATATATATGTCGTGCCGAATATGTAAAACTGGTCAATTAGCAAGAACTCATTTAAAATTAAGTCCTTTCTAAAATTTTCTCTAATACGATTAAAGAAATATTTTTTTCATTAATGTTCATGTAAAAAATTTTAATTTTGCACCAAAAGAATCTTAGAAAACTTACCTAACCTTATTATAACAAGTGGAATTTATTTTAGCCTAACCCAACTAACTATATTTTAGATTTGTTTACAATAATTTAATACTAAACAAACAGTGAAATATATTTTTTTCGTTAGGTTCAGAATGATTTTGGCGAAATTATTGCATACATAAATTTTCACTTGTCCTGTATGGCAAGATGAACGTTGCTATTTAAGCCAAGATCGCAAGTTCTGCCTATTCGGCACGACATATATATATAACAGTATAATGGGGTAACTACGATATTTTGAATTATTACTACTACTGTTATTATTATTATTATTATTATACGATTTTGGGAGGAATTTTGGGAGGAATTCTCAATCCTGTGGATAAGTATTCTCTCTCTCTCTCTCTCTCTCTCTCTCTCTCTCTCTCTCTCTCTCTCTCTCCTTTTTTTTTTTTTTTTTTTTTTTTTTTTTTTTTTTTTTTTTTTTTTTTTTTTTTTTTTTTTTTTTTTTTTTTTTTTTTAAAACGGGTTTTTTGAAAGGTTAAGGATCCCTGCTTTTATTGACAACTTTTTTACAGGTTAAGGTTTCCCTAACTTTATTGGCAAGCAAAAAGAGCTGTTCCTAATCAGCTCATTTGAAAGCTTTTTTATTTTTAGGGGAGCCTACAAGTGGGGAAAACGGGTGAATTTTGGGGGCCATCTGGGGGCCGATTTTATTTGATCAACTGACTTTATCTCGTTGACATCTTTAAGGGCTGTACAATGTGTTTCCATACCGAGTCACCCGGGGATGAAAGATCTCGTGGAGTGATGTTCGGAAAAGGGGTACAGCCAAGTAAAGTTGCTGTTTTCCCTGCCCGTTTTGGGCTTTAAAAGCTTGTTTCCCCGCGTCCTCAAAGGGGACCCAAAGGGTGTGGTATTTTGAAAATTTTGGCCTTGTAATAACATAAAAACCACCCACTTTCCCTCCAAAGATGAAGGCTTGCTAAAGGGGACAAATTATCCGGGAAAGGGCCCAGGCGAGAAAAGAGACTTTCTTGCTCTTTTCTTTTTCCCTTTTTGTCAAGAAAGCCCGCAGATGAAGGGGGGGCAGGCAAACCAAAAAATTTGGAGCATACTCAAGGTGTGGCGTATTTGTCCCTTTCGTAAGGATTTTTGCAACCCCTACTGTCAAGCAGATGCGAAAACCGGCGAAGTGCTGTAAGCTTCCGGCTGCCTTTTTTGAAAGTTTTACAACAGGTTTTTTCCGGTTAGTTTGGAGTAAAAATTTCACCCCCAAGGTTTACCAAACTTCTTCCCAGGTGCCAACATGCCCCCATTCATCCTTACTACGGGCACCAGATTCCCCATCATGGGGGCCTAAGACGATAAATCATTTGCGTTTTCTCAGGTGCAAATGTTTAACCTTTTCCCCATTCTATTTCCCCTTTTTTTTTGGTGGAATTGAAATTTTAAGCTTTTAGGGGGGCAAGGTTTTTGGGGCCCAATTTTCCTTCCCCTTCCTTGGGTTTTAAGGGGTTTGAATTGGTTCAGGGTGGGAAACCAGCCCCCGTCTTGTTTTTAAAGGGGGGAAGGGGGGTTGTTTTCCCCCCTGGGCTAGGGGAAAAAGGCCCCTTAAGAGAATTAAAACAGTGGGCCCAAACCTTTCCGGGGAAACCCCAATATTTGCGTTTCCGAAAAAAATTGAGGGGGGGCCCCAAAAAAATTTTCATTTTTTCTTGAAAATGGTTTGGCCCAAAGAATTTCCCGTGATTGAAGGCTAGGGCCTGGGCCCCCCCGGTTTCAAAACGCCGAAGCCAGGCCCCGCTTTTTGGAAAGTGCTTGTGGGAGGGATTAAAAAATTTGCGCTCCTTTCCGGGAAGGGGGCCATAAGACAGATACTAGGCGTGGTAAAAAAAAGTTTTTGCGAAATTTGAAGGTGCCATAAGCGGGGCCGGGAGTCTTGCATTTTCGCCCCTTTTTTTTTTTTTGGGGGGCTAATTTTTTTTCCCTGGGGGCCCAACCGAAGGCCTTGGGAAGGGATTTGGGGTTCAGCGCTTTCTCCAAATTTTTCTCCAACCCTTGGGGTTTAATTGGTCACCACGCCTTTTCCGGTCTTGAATTTAGAAGGGAAAAGGGCCCCCTTCCCTTCAGGCCCCATTGATTTTTGGACACACGGTAGCCAAAGGGGGGTCCCCCGGGTCAAACGTTTTGGTACAATTTAGAAAATTTCGCCCTTTTTACACCGAGAGGGGGTCCCCCCTTTTTTAGGGTAATAATTTCATGGGCCAGAAAACCCTTGTCTTTTCCTTGAACAGGGCCCCCCAGGTTTTGGGCCACCCTACCTGATGCAAAATTTTCTTTTAAATGTCCACCTCCCATTTAGCAAGGGCCCCATTTTTTGAACACCCCCATATGCCTGGTTTGCAGGTGAAATTTCCCTTTTATAGGTGGTGGGATGTCTCTTATACCTTCGCCTGCTTTTACTTGCATAGAAAACCCTACACAACGAAAGCCAAACCAAGGCTGATCGTAGTTTTGTCACATATTCCGGGAGGAAATTTTTCTTGGGTTTCAGATTAAGGATGTGGGCCATGAAGGCTTTCACTTGGGTTTTCACACCCCCCCGGAAAGAGCATTTTTCCCGTCGGTGGGGGCGACTCAGAGCAAAAGGGTGGCCCAAAAAACCTCTTTCCCCCTAGCCCTTTTTTGCGTTTTGGGAACCCCCCCACCTCGTTCTGTTGGGTCTAAGTGTGGTTTTAAAAAAAGCCTTGTTGGGGCCCGGGGGATCCAAGGAGGGCCAGGGGTTTACAAAGGGAAAATTTGCCTTTGCCAGATCATTATTTTCTGGGTCAAGGGGGAGGGCCCGAGTATATAGGGAAAACAACAAAGTTTCTCTTCAAAAAACTGCCCAAAAAGGTCAAACAAAGTCCCTCTGTATAAGGGGCTGGGTTAGGGCACCCAACCAAATTTTAATATGTTACAGTTGTGGGTGCGAAGGGAAATCAATATTTCCATTAGGAAGTTGATAGGGGTCGGGATGTTTCCCCCTGGGTCTGTTCATTGCAATGCTAGTACAAGGGCTAAATGTTTAAAAAGAGCTTGAAGAACATCATTTCAGATTTGTAGGGGTGGCAACCTCTATGTGCTGGGCCCTGAACACTTTTAGAAAACACACAGCAAAAACCGCCCTCCTTGCCCTTCCTGTTTTCTATCCATGAGGTGTGCCAGCAAATTCTTGCAAATTTTTTTTGGAGTCCTGTCATTTCCCAAAAAGGTTTTAAAACAGCTATCTCTCTCTCTCTCTCTTTTCTCTCTCTCTCTCTTTTCTCTCTCTCTCTTCTCTCTCTTCTCTCTCTCTCTCCCTCTCCTCTCCCCTCTCTCTCCACAGAAAGTTTTTACAAACCCACAAAGCGGTAACCAGGGGAAATTTTTTTAACCCCCCAGGAAAGAGCACAATAAAAGCAAAACAAGATAACATCATAAAAATTTTAATTTTCTTGCCCCTTGACTCGCCTCTGAAAGACCGTGGGTTTTTTCCCGGTACCAAATATTGGGCATGTTAAACCCTTTCACCTGTGGGCACCACCTAGCAGTAAGGGAGGGACCTGGGGTTTTGTTACCTTTCACTGGGCCCCTGTTCACCTTGCGAAAAAGTACCCCGAGTGTTTAATTACCTTACACCGCTTCCCCTGTTCACCTAGCAGTAAGTAGGTAACCCGGGTGTTTTCCTTACACCCCGCTGTCACTTCACCTAGCAGTAAGTAGGTACCTGGGTGTTAGTTACCTTACACCTGTCACTGTTCACCTTGCAGAAAGTAGGTACCTGAGTGTTAATTACCTTACACCTGCTGTCACTGTTCACCTGGCAGTAAGTAGGTACCTGGGTGTTACCTTACACCTGCTGACATTGTTCACCTAGCAGTAAACGGGCACCTGGGTGAATAATGAGCCACTGCCTTCTTCAGTCCAAAAACAGAAGAACGGTAGATGAGTTTGGGGTTATCAGTCCCTCAACACTGAGCAAAATTCCCTTCGTTCAGTGACTTATAAACGAGGTTAAGTTAGGTAATGTTTGTCAGAAAACAAGACAAGTGTTTCCTGACGAAGGTCTTGTATGATAACCCACAGCTGGAGCTTTTGGTCATCTGACCGAGGCCTTCCACTGGCTTACCTCTCCACCCCTTTAAAAATCATGGTTATGATTATAACCATTAGTATTATAACTATTTTCTAACCCATTTACATCACAGGAACCTTGGTGTAAATGGGGTGTCGAGGGTCGCATCCTGGGGGAGGGAATAAAAGCACTCCACTGGGGATGAACCAGACGTAGTGGCTTAACAGGGTTACCAACCCTCCGGTTTAATAATCCGAACACAAATCAACATCATTTGAAAATTGGCTTCTGCAGCGCAAAATTTCAAGAAATCTAAATGTTTTGACGATTTTTAATATTTTATTGTATGTAAAATTTAATATAATTATGGTTAGTTTCGAGGCAAAACAAATACTCGAAATATTAATTTTTTTTTTCGTAAAATATTTAACTGTATATTGGGAAGAGTGAATCTTGTGGCAGTGTTTTAATTGTCAGGAAAGTATGTATAATTTTGTTAAGATTTTGCTGTGACATGTTTTTTAATTATAATAAATGTGTGTGTACTCGCCTAATTGTACTCACCTAATTGTGGTTGCAGGGGTCGAGACTCAGCTCCTGGCCCCGCCTCTTCACTGATCGCTACTGGATCCTCTCTCTTTCTGCTTCCTGAGCTTTGTCATAACTCTTCTTAAAACTATGTATGGTTCCTGCCTCCACTACTTCACTTGCTAGGCTATTCCACTTGCTGACAACTCTATGACTGAAGAAATACTTCCTAACGTCCCTGTGACTCGTCTGAGTCTTCAGCTTCCAGTTGTGACCCCTTGTCCCTGTGTCCCCTCTCTGGAACATCCTATCTCTGTCCACCTTGTCTATTCCCCGCAGTATCTTGTATGTCGTTATCATGTCTCCCCTGACCCTTCTGTCCTTTGTGTGTGTGTGTGTTTACTCACGTGTTTGTGGTTGCAGGGGTAGAGACATAGCTCCTGTCCCCGCCTCTTCACTGATCTCTACTGGGTCCTCTCTTTCCCTGCTAAATGAGCTTTCTCATACCTCGTCTTAAAACTATGTATGGTTCACGCCTTCACTACGTCACTTGCCAGACTATTACATTTCCTGACAACTCTGTGACTGAAGAAATGCTACCTAACATCTCTTTGACTCGTCTGAATCTTCAACTTTCAGTTGTGACCTCTTGTTTCTGTGTCCCTTCCCTGGAACATCCTGTTTCTGTCCACCTTGTCAATTCCTCGCAGTATTTTATATGCCGTTATCATGTCTTCCCTAACCCTCCTCTCCTCCAGTGTGTGTGAAATGGGTAAAAATTTTGTGTAGGATCGATTCTCAGTCCTGTAATATTGTCAGTATTGAATTCTAATGAGGGACGATGTATTAGACACATCTGCTACACTTGGCTATCTTTATTCTGGAAACGTTTCGCCAACCAGCGGCTTCTTCAGTCCAATGCAGAGTAAGGTGGAAGAGGAGTTTCTTGAGGTGATCATTCCCTCATCCTGGAGTTGATGTGTTTAGTCAGTATGGTACCCACTGGTCGGCGTAACGTCTCCACAAGAGAGACCCCAGGTGTTACACATACGTCATATTTATCCATAATTCCTAACTGTACATTACAAGAAACATGTGGAAAAGATCTCACCTATCAGAGGATATCGCCGTGAGAGTAAAGACGCTGGCAGCTATGGTGACGTTAGCCATGAAGTTACTGAGAGTGCAGTAGGTCGCTCCAAAAGGCCAGTCACTGAAAATTAAAGATGGTATGACATTCATGGATAAATTATAACGTTAATTTCTCAAGTGTTGGAGGGGTAAGCCAGTGGAAGGCCTTGGTCAGATGACCAAAAGCTGTGGGTCATCATATGAGTAAGACCCGCGTCAGGAAACAGTAGTCCTGTTTCCTGACAAACCTTACCTACCATACCCCCGGCCGGGATAGAACCCGCGGTCATAGTCTCAAAACTCCAGCCCGTCGTGTTAGCCACTAGACCAGCTAGCCACAATAAGATTCATCCAACTAGATATATTTCTACACCATAGGAAGGTTAGCACAGGCACCTCTGTGACCACAAATGCAAGTTTTTACAGACGAATCTCCAGCTAGCGTGGCCGTGACGAACTCTAGCTCAAGTCCCTTCACTGCCGTCAACATGACTCACGAAATCGTAATGACACGATTGCAATCGTGTCATTACGATTTCTTAAGTCAAACCTTACCTAACCAAATATGAAAGGGGTGACTAATTACCCTAATTTTAAAGAGGTAAACGTTAAGCCATGGAAGGGCTCAGTCACCGACCTAAAG